GTTTGCAGAAATATATAACTGAAAGCCTGAGGTGTTCACCAGGGCCCTGCTCCTCTCTCAGTTTAGAACTTAATCCCTCCCTGTTTTCTCAATATCAAGAAACTGCCGAAAAATCCACTCTGCTTTTCAGAGGTGTATGCTTCAGCTTGTTTCTTCGTTTCCTGAAGTTCCCTTCAAAATTTGGGAAAGATCTTGAGAAAACCAGCGGGGTCCATTTTTCCATCCCTTTCTTTATAGAGCATTCCTAGCCCCTCGATTTGTCTTTACAGCCCTTCAAGACTGACAAAAGCTCTACCATTTTTTTGCTCCTAGCAACTGCCCCTGCCCCAGCCAGAATTCAAGTGCTTAAAGGAAAAATCAGGGGCAGAATGTCCGCTCACATCTCTGCTTGTTACCCCTTCCCAGGAATTGTGTGTTCTCAGGTCTTGGTTGCTTCTTCCGCTCTCCAGTGACTTCACTCTGATGTTTATATTTTATCCAGCTTTACTAGTTATCTCACTTCCAATTTAGAAATGAAAGTACACTTAAACTTCTTCTTTCTTAAACTGAGGATGATCATGCCAGGCTTTGTTCCCTCCCTCACAGGAGGGATTTGAGAGAAAGTAAAGCAAGATAATTTATTTGAATTATTGGTAGTAGGATGATGATGATGATGATGATGATGACACCACCACCCAAACATATGTGGTACCTTCCCAAAGGTCCATCCTCTATGCCATTATACAAATCTAGTGTGTCAGTATATTCTCCTCAATGAAATAATATCTCATTCTCATTAGTTTCAAAAGAATGGTTTATTCTTTTTATTCTGTTCCATGCTTACAGAAAATTAAAGAAAGATAACCTAAATATATTGGCTTGTCAGAAAAGTCATGACATATTTTGTCTATGTTTTTCAAAGGTCATTTATTTATATAAAGAACAAAGATCAATCAATGATATATTGCCCGTTTTGTTCGATAACCTTCTGCCATCTTTCAGTGAGCTTCATAATTCCTCGTTCATAGAAGGACCTGTCTTTATTTGCAAAAAACTGAACAAGGTGCTGGTTTACAGCCTCATCTGAATTGAACGTTATACCACGCAAGGAGTTTTGAAGAGCAAAACAAGTGGAAATCTGATGATGCAAGGTCAGGGTAGTATGGTGGGTGTGGCAACACATCCCATCCAAGTTCCAATAGTTTTTGACAGGTGATCAGACTTGTGTGTGGTCTCGCGTTGTTGCAATGGAACACAACTCCTTTACAACTAACAAGCTCTGGACATTTCTGGATGATGGATTCGTTCAAACTGTACAGTTGCTGACAGCACACATTCGAATTGATTGTTTGGTTCCTTGATAGGAGCTCGAAAAACATGACACCTTTCAAATCCTACCACACTGAGAGCATAACCTTCCTCTTATGAATGTCTGCTTTCGATGTCATTTGAGACGAATCATCATGTCGGAACCAAGACCATTTGCACACCACATTGTTGTAAACAATCCACTTCTCATCACCAGTTATCAGTTGCTCCAAAAAGAATCATTTTCCTTATGTTTAATGAGCATATTGCAGATGTTTATACGTGCCATCAAATGAACTTCTTTGAGTTGATGTGGAACCCAAATATCGAGCTTGCTTATGTATCCCAGCTTCTTCAGGTTGTTGTAAATGCTTGAATGATGGATGTTCAATGTTTCTGCAGTCTCTCGTGTCGTGTAACTTGGGTTTGACTTGATCAATGCTTTTATTTTGTTGTCATCAACCGCAGTGGGCCTCCCTGACCGAGGAGCAACGTTGAGATCAAAATCACCAGCACGGAATTCCGTGAACCATCATTGGCAGTGACGTTCTTGTAGAGCATTTTCACCATAAACTTTATGCAACTTTTCACAAGCTTGACGCATGGTCTTCCCTTTATGGAAGTAAAACAAAACTGCCAGTTTGGTCTTCCATCTTCAACTTGTTGTAAAATCTCCAAAACTCAACCAAATCACTCAATTTTTTTTTAGAATGAAGCTAGAACTGTCAGCTGTCGAATTGGCATAGCAATAACATAGATGCAAATGACTCTAGTACTTCCAAAAATGAACTGGTGCCATCTGTTGTAAACATGTGTCATGACTTTTCCGACAACCCAGTATTTCTTCCTTTTACAAATGACTTTCCTGTTAAAGAAATAGACCTTGTAACTTGAAGGGAGGTGCCATCTGAGAATTAAATAACTATTATTTTTAATTTTTATATTTCATTCTTTTTTTTTGAAGTGACTCAAATTTATAGTGAGAGAGTACAGTAGTGTGATAATGGAGGTCACTAAATTATTCTAAGGTACCTGGATAAAAACTGTTCAACAGGCTCTATTTGTAAAATAGAAAGAAACTCAATGAAAAGTAAATCTCCATTATTCCAAGATTTAAATATTTCTCCAAAGAACTGGAAAATAACCCCCTCTTTATCTTCTGTGGTGATCATCTCTACTTACAGAATATAATAACATCAGTAGCCTCCCATTTTCATTTTCCAAAGGCTTTCTCCCACAGCACCCTGGAAAAGAACTTGGCAGGGCCTTTACCTTTCAATTTTTCTCAGGAGGAACTATTAAATAGGGCTTACCAGTAGTCAAACAAAGCTAAACAAGTACTGACTTAAAAAAAATAATAATAAGTACAGTATGTAAGGAAAGAATGAGAGAGAACTGGTATGTCATTTTTAATTATTTTGATGTCCAAGACTTCCTTAAAAAGCACACTGTCAGTTTCTAAGTTAGCACTCATTGCTATGATTACATTCTCTTAAAGTTACCTCTCACACACAACTTGAAACTGATTATTTCAGTAACATACAGAGGGTGCCAAAAAAATGTATACACATTTTAAGAAAGGAAAACTGTATTAAAATTGTACTACTCAATATATACCGATAAAAGATGAATACAAGTCACATTTGACTTCTGCAGTTACAAGAGATGCTCAAAGTGGTTACCATCAGCGTCCAGACACTTCTGATTATGGCAAACTACTGCTGGAGCAACGTTAACCAAAGTGTCCACTTGTATGCATTTTTTTGGTACCCCCAGTATTCAGTAAAATTGGATACTGCTGTGTAATTTCCCTCCATGTAAGAAAAATGGCTGGAAGAAAAATAATGCGATGGCCATTGCTTTAGACATGTTGCAGATAGAATCTTTATATAAATGTTATCCTACTAATATCTTTTAAAAGTCCCAAGACAATTGTGTTCTGTGTTATTTTACATTGAACTTATTATTGTTTAAGAATATATTTCATTGTTTCACTTATTTAATTGTTATATAATATGGTTGTTGTTATAGTGTATTTAGGACACAGAGTTAATAGAACACTGTGGTAAACAAGAATTTGGTTCTTTGTGTACCTTTCACTTTTCTTCCAAATAGTCATCACCCAAAGACTTTCCTATAATAGAGATGTAAATGCTTTCTTCTTGCCAAATCGCCAGTCTAGAGATCCTTGTTTTAGCAGAACAGTCATATGATCTCAGTTTGGCTAGTTCATACCAAGATTTCTTAATAGTAGTAGACCTTTTCTGCTACCTGGGAGAAAGAATAAAATTTTTGTTTTAAATGAGATAGGTAAAATACAAACCTGATATTCCCCCTCTGCCTCATAAAACCTTTTGGTATTTATGTAATGTTTCTTTCTTCATGGATACCCTGTTAGACTTAGTTATCTCATTGATATTTAAATGTATAGAAGCCATTTTGACAGATGTTATAAAATTTTGCACATATTGACTGTATACATTACAAAGGTGATCAGTTTATAAGCATTATGATAACTTAATCACTTTTTACCTTATAATAGAAGCTATACAGAGACTTAAACATTTACTTTCGAGATGTATAGGAAAGACAGAAAAAGATGATTGGCTCAACAGTTAGCCTGTATCATTAGGTGGCTTATTAGAAATCCAGGACCTCAGATGTATAATTTTAAAAATTCAGTTTTATCAGTTACTTTCCAGTGCCTTTTAATGCACAGTTCAAAATACATTTCAGCTAACTGAGCAGTGAAGACCTGTGAAATTCACTAATACTGAATATTTTTTTGTTTACAGTAATCTTAGCCTCCTCTGGCATCAGAAAGGCAGTATTCCTTCTTCCCAATCTCTAGCACTAGTTTTCTCCTCATAAGAATTAACTTCTTGGGCCTTCTGGCATTTAGTATAAAGTATAGTTTTTATTCTAGTGTCATTCGCAAAATAGTCAGTACTACTAAGTGATATTTTACTTGTGAAATTTGTGAAATAAGGATTACTGCCTAGTATCTATCTGCATGTGTAATGAATATCATGATATGACACATATCATAATGTTTCAATTATAATATTTCTGACACTGCTTCCTTGAAGAGATTTGAGGAGAAAATATCTGAAGACTAGCTTTTGAGAGACTTATATGAAGATGTCAAAATGTCCCACCATCAACAAAGTATGCATTTTATGTGCTTTCTCCTGATTTCCCTGTGGCTGTGTATGTATAATGTTTATCATATGGAGAAATTTGCCACATTGTATATATTAGAATCCTTATTTAGCTGGGAATTAAAAGATTATTCTTAGTAAATCTATTATTACTAAGGGCTATGAAAATTATTAGTTCTCATTTACCAATTACATGATCCTCTGAGTAAGGAGAGATTTTTAAATTAAAAAAAAATTCAGATGGTCATTCCTATTTTATATGTTAACTTTTGTGTGTGGGGTGTATTAAAATTAAACTCACTAGTTTGAGCTCTGAAGATGATTTACAATATCTCTAAATGTAATTTGACTTTAATATTATTTTAAATTTTATAGGGAAAGACATCTACACTCTTCATCCTAAGTACAACCTATCCAGGTGATGAGAGAAATATTAAAATTATGAAACTCTAATAAGTTTTATTATCAGTGACTATCAAATTTTGATGTTTATATTTATGAAAGACCTTGTGAGATCTGCAGACTAATCAAATTGCTTTTGTTTTTTTCCAGAATTACCCCTGGACTACAAGTTTACAAGATTCTCTTCAAACAATTCAAAAACGGTTGGCTACTATCCACACCCTCCGGTGGTTTTATCAAATGATGAAACACTGACAAACAAGTAACTTTCCTCTACTGAAAAATGAAGTGAAGTACCACATATGCAGCAAATGTACTGTAAAAATTTTAATTTAAAAAAAACTGTAAAATGCTTTATAGGAACAAATCCTTAATGAAAATTGACCAAGAAATTGATATGTTTTTCCATAGGTCACTTTTCTATATAGATCATCTTGGTGCCCAACAACTCTCATTATAAAATCTCAGTATCTTAGAACTGAAAAGAACCAAACCTTATTAATATGTTATATACCAATAATTCTGAGATTAGAATTCACCCGGGTAGATACGCGCGCACATACACACACACACACACACACACACACACACACTCTTACACCTGTGCCTAGACCAGTGGATCTCAGAAAGTGATGTCCCAAACCACTAGCATAGCTAACATAGCATCACCTGAGAGTTTGATAGAAATGCATTTTTGCAGGCCTCACCCCAGACCTACAGAATAAGAAACTCTGAAAATGGGGCCCAGGAATCTGTGCTTAATGACAGTGTGATTCACGCTAAAGTTTGAGAACCACTGGCTACATCATAACCTCCAGAGACTGGTTGAATTGGTCTGGGGTTATAGGTGAGCATTGACATCTTTTATGTCCCCGGGAAAATGTAGCCAGAATTGAGAACAACTGATCTACACCAACTTTTTCAATTTATACCCAAGAACACTGAGTCCAGTGAGGTTAAATGATTTTTCCAATCTGTCAGGCTTTATGCTATTCTTGTGTTTTCAAAACAAGGAAATAAGAGAGACATGGTTTCTTCTAAAACAGCACAACCCAATATGGGACAGAGATAATACCAGAAGCCAACTATTTCAACCTCCAGTGTTACCCATTAGGGTTCCTCCTCCTCCCTAATAACGTTAAAGGCTGTTTAATTCATTTTCATTCACTTTAAAGCATGTATTCTCAATGGGACAAAAATTGATTCTTGGGGTGAAAAAAAATAATTGGATAATGCAATGGATTATAGCCCTCCAAAGCTAAACATTACCCAATAAAATCTTATTCCTTAGTACTAATTTTTATCATTATGAAAAATATAATTTAAAGTTAAATTTATTAATTAAATTTGAGTTAAATTTTTCTCCTTAGGATGGGGGTTGATAATGAAAAAAAAAAGTTGAAAAACTGCTTTAGGAGGTTTTATAGGTATACTACAATTCAGGATGATTGTGTTCTATGGGCTATGTATTGTCATATTAGTAGCTATTGGTTGCAAAATGTTTGGAGCCAGATAATGTTTACAGTATAAATCCTGGCCACTCTTTATCATTTTACTCTGTTCATCATGGACCTTATCAGGAAACACTGCATTATTTTACCTGGACTATAGCAGAGAACTTAGCATATTGATGCATGCAATGAAAAGATAAATATTTTGTTAAAATTTTTAAATGCTCAAATCATCCCAAATATATTGTGGGGACAGGTGTCTCAGGGTAGGTAAACAGTGGCTGAAATTACTTCCTCAAAGTCAGTAGCTTTGTTTGATACCTACTAATAAGCATAAGGTAATGTATTTGGAGTTGATTTCCAAAATCTCACTGGAATATAATGAGTGTACATCAAACTTAAGGCTAATTGTTAGATGCTGTCTAATGTATACATTCAATACACATTTGAATTCTTTTAAAAATAAACCTATTTTTCCTTACATGTTTATTTTGTAAATGGCAAAGAATAATACATCTTTAAATGCTTAAAACTGCTATTGTTAATATGAAAAATGAGAACCCCAAAATAAGAAGTTAATTGTTTTTCTGGCCTCGGAGGACTGAAAAGAATTCACTCAAATCAGAAGTTCTAGTCCTACTTTTCCTGGTACCTACCTAAAGAATCTGAACAAGTTACCACCTACTTTTACCTCAGTTTCTCCCATCTTGTGAAAGGAGGTTAGAGTTTCCTTCCACCTTTTTAACAGAAATAGTGCTAATGATGAAGGTTGTTTTTCTGTTGGACTGTAATTAGACTTTCAAATTTTTATTTCATTATTTTAAAAAGTGCCAGTGTTTCTAATTGGACATGAAGATTAAAAATAATCATCCAAAAATGGCACTATAAAAATTAAAAGGAGAGTATTAGAGAAAAAAGATACATATTTTTTAATAAAGTCGTAAGTAAGAAAACAGGAAAATTGTGCAGATAGGCAGGCTTAAGTTTATTATTAGCATACAGGCAAACATTCATCATCTAAAAGTAACTGGCAAGGGAGTTGAGATTTTCTTTGCTGGCTACTATTGATCTCATCAGCAGAGGAAAGATCTGAATGCCAGTGGTCAAAGGGTTTGGAATTTAGAATATTGAGGTAGCGGAAACTTCAATTGAACCATGAATTACAATCTAAAATCATCTACTTCTGAGCTTCTTAAACTCTAAATTAAAATCAAGTAGTATTTTCCCACCAACATTCAGATCCAACAATTATATATATGATATGATATATATCTATATATATCTCATATATATAGGTACATATGTATGTATATGTGTACACATACTTTTAGTGAACTTGTTTGAAAAAACTAAATCTGTGATTTTATATAAAAAATAAGCATAAAATGGAATGTCAAACTATCTCTTTGGATATAACAACTCTGACTGTTAGAATCACATGGATAGGTTGTTTTTGGGTTTTTTTGGTTTTTTTATAATGTGGTGTTGCAGTATTCATTACCTCTTCTCAGGCTCTTAATAACAAGGTTATCAAGAGGTGGCTTCCAGATTAGTGCAAGACTGGGATATATTCAAGAGTTAACTCACCCACTGCTGCCCTTGAAAATCCTTGGGTATGGTGCAGTCCATAAAGGGTGAGTTCCAAAAGGTGAATCATCCTCAGAAATAATGGTAAAAATTTAATAGTAATGAGTGCTGATTCCTCACCAGGTTACTTCATGTACCTTCTTTACTCCCTACTGCAACCATATGAGGAGTGCATAATGATTAAAATCTTACAGATTAGGAAATTGAAATTCACAGAGGTTAGATAATAGGCTTCTTCAAGTTTGCCCTGTTACTAAGGAACAGAGTCTATACACGAGCCCAAGTTTGACCCCGAAATTCATACTCTTAGCTGATTGATGCATAAAGTCTTCAAATATTAGATCTAGATTGGGGCAAATTTTTAGTCTAAAACCACACTTCAATTTAATAATCACACCATGCTAGGACAAGTGAGGGATTAGAAATGAAGACACAGACTGTCCCAAAGGAACTCAAAATTTTATAAAAAATATTAACTGTCTGTAACATGTAGAACCTGGAAAAGTAAAATAGAGAACCAAGAATCAAGGGAGTTTCTACAATGTATAATGCCCACCCTTCTTGGAACCCACATATGCTAAAGTCATCAACAAGCAGGTCTACTCTTTCTTCATACTCAGGTTCAAATGTTCACCTTGAATACTTAGCACATTTCCTGCTCTGCTGCTGAGGAAACCAAACTGGAGAAGGAATAATGAAAACTGGTTCAGGTAAACTTAGTGGAAGATGGGGTATCTGGGCCTGTAGAGAAGTTGGGTCATTACTTAAAATGACAACAGTAGCACAGACTGCTTGACAATCGGGTTCTTGTACCAGGCTCCTGTTCTCAAACTCATTTTTTAAAAAGTTATTTTACTTTCTTGGTACTTAGGCCTTGGTACATTCTTGGTAAAGATCGAAGCTTTATAAAGCTTAACAAAATTTAATAAATTTGAGAAGGAATACATCCCTAAGTATTGCCTGTTAAAAGCAATCACCATGTTGAATTAAAAAATATTCTCTAAATTTAATAGAGATCAACATTCCTTTACAGTTTCTAGCAGCTAAATTTCATAAGTATATTTCAGTTCCTTTGGTGCATTTACTCCCTGTGATACAAAGAACAAACTGCTAGTTTCCGTCATTTATGCAGCAAACATCAAGATGGCATGTAAATTCAGGAATGTTTCAATCTGTAACTATGGAATCCTGCACTGATTTTTTTAAAGTACACCTTTCAAAAACCACTCATGAATGGGTTAAAAATAACCTTCATCTGAGGCCTAAATATGCACATAATTAGGGTTTTCCTTTTTTTTTCATGCCAAATTTAGTACAGACATCTGTGATATAGTGGAAGGTACCCTCATTTGAAATCAGAAAATTTAACCGTTTGTGTGACTTGCATCTTAAGCAATTTACTTCAACTTTCTGAGTCTGTTTTTACAACTGTTTCAATGGAGATAAAAAATTATGTCAGGATTATGAAGGTAACTTGAGAACACACAAGGAAGTGCCTGACATATGTCAGATCTCTTGAGATTGTCAAACCAGGGAAAGTTTATCTGAAGCATATCCAAGGCTCAAATTGTGACTCCATGGGGCAGGGAACTCAAGAATCCAGGTAGTTTTTTTGGTTTGTTTTTATGATAGAAACTGATTTAAGGAAACTTAAGTCAACTGGAGATAATGCAGAAGCAGCAGCAGGAGTAATTGGAATGAAAGATGGGGGCCTGATATCTCAGACCATTATTTCTGACCTTGCAAAAAGTCAGAGAAGCCTTTTGTGGGTCTGGCCTGAGCTAAATGTCCAGAAATGGTAAGATTGTCATGTAGGGACCAGGGCAATTATGAAATTCGTCACTACCAGTCAGGGCAATATGGCCTGAGCAGACCAAAATGATTAATACGCATTTCTTTGGTGACCAGAGGATGACAGACCCTCTTAACTGGTTTAGAGGTCTGCATAAAGAATAACTTGTGTCTAAAATTAAGGAAAACAAGGCAATGCAAAGAAATGAAACAGGACTATAGGAGTGAATCAATTTGCTAGTAAGTACAACCTAAAGAAGGCCTGAGTCTAATTTTATTAGACTAAACAAAATAGAAACCATGTTAATCTCTTAACAAATGAGTGGCACCAGCCTAACAGAGAAATGAATTCCATTGGTTAGACTGAAGCTGATACTAAACCAAGGGCAACAAGATGACATTTTCTGATTATATCCATAACAGGATAAAAGATAATGCTTGAAACAGGTGGTTGAAGATGCAGCAATCACTGAATTGAAAAAGTAAAATGATCATTATAAGAGGAATTTAGGATTAAGATGGGTGTAGAGCATGCAAAAGAAAACTTAGCTAAGTTTTCCAGACCTAGAAAAATTACACTTCAGCAAGTAGAACTTGTGAGAATTGCACCAAGAGTCAGCAAGTCTGTTTAACCGTAGATCTAATTAACAGTCTCTAACGCAAATCAGTAATTTTGAGTCTTTTGTCAAATTTTTGTTTAAATGGCTAAAAATACTTGGGTCATTCACTTTCACAGATCTTGCAGTATCCATAGCCCTCTCTACTACAGAGAACGCAGAAGGATTTATCTCCCAAACCTTCAGGTAATAACTGATGAACAGCATTACATTCCTGCTCATTGAAGTTGTGATGCCTGATACCATTTGTTTCTAGACATTATATTTCAGTCATAGTTTTTTTTTGTTGTTTTCTCTTTAAAATACCACCCTCTTGTTATGAAAAGAATTTAAGTAGCACTTACAGAATACACAATGGTTAATTCTTCTAAAAGTCTATCTTAAGCTCATTAAGAATGAGACCAAGGAGGGGATTCGATTAACATAAGTATAGTAAACAAGGATGCTGCCTGGAGAACAGTTTTCTAGGGAAAACAGTTAAGTGACAAATCAACAAATGACACTTCAATTACCACCCAAAACTGCACTGGTTATAAAGGAAACATTATGTTCGTGAGTATGCGGCTGCAGTAGGCTGCTTATTTACCCTTTTCCAAGCAAAAAAATCTGAGGTTTGGTGGCTTTTTTTTCTTTTTGGATTTTAACTTCAGGATGATGCTTACTGTGACCATTTGATAACTAATGATTTCTCATCCTTTAATTAGTCTAGACAACACAGACAGAACTTTATTAATTTTTATTTTTTAATGAAAACAAATACAGCAGAGTGACAGATTTTATTTTTTCTTCAAGCACATAGAAGACAAAAGTACTGACGATCCTTGTTTAGTTTGACAGAGCAATTCTACAAGTACTTACATGGGTTAGGAACACAAAATACCAAGTACCACATTACTATAGGGCAAGAAATACCAAGTAAGACAGAGTTCTGTTTTTCTTCTTGAGATACTTTCACAAGACAGTGACAATTTGCAAAATTTGACTCTTCAAAGATCACATTATTCAAATTATATTTCTAAGAATAGAGCTATATATGAAGAGACCAGAACAAGCTGATATATTATTAAAGTCTTCATACTGCACAGGAAACAAGTTTGATATTTTTTGCACATGTTCTCAATTACAAGCAAAAAGCAGGCCTATAAATGTCAATTCTGCCAGCAAGCAAAAATGAATTAATAGGATTTTATTCACAGTGAAATAAGCATATACCATTAATCTTCCACATATAAGGTCATTCCTAGAATAATAGAGAGAAAACATCTAGACTTGGATTTGTGTGTATAAAAATCTACTGGTGAATTCAAGGATACAGGAAAAATTGGAGGAAAACTCTCCTTCAAGCATCCTCTTTCAACATTAACCACTTTGATTCTTCGCACCTCCTGGGAAGAGCATCAGGCCTCCACTCCCACCCCTGACCCTGCAGGGATCCAGTCTTCCTTGACTGCCTTTCCAAACCCGCCCCACAGCAGGCTCATTTCTGTATCTGGGCTTTCAGTTTCTCCAGCCGAGAGCACCCTCCCCACTGCTTAGTAACTAGACCTCCTAAGCCCTCAGGGAGCTTAGGGCAGTGCCTTCAGAAGGAAAGGAGAAAGGATAAGTGTGGATGTCACCACCACCACCACACCCCTCCCTAAGTAAGACAGCCCTGACAGCACTGTCCCACCTTTTGTTTGTTTCTGTAACTACTTAAGAGAGAGGATGGGAGCAGGGGAGGGAGAGGAAAAGGGAAAAGGGGGCAAGGAGGGACAGGGACAGGGACAGGGAAAGAGACCAGAAATACATCTTCCTCGGTGCCCCCAGGTGGTTTATTGTCTAGGACTCAGAAAGGCTAACTGTTGGAAGGAACCCCATTCCAGCCTTGCTTTGGGCACTCACACATGACTGCCCAATCTTCCCAACAGCCCATTGGGTTTATGGGTAACCATTTGGGAAGGGAGCAGTTCCTGTGTGCTGCCTGGGGGCTTAGATCCACCGACAGTTCCTGAGGAGGCAGGCCATGGTGACCATGCAAAGCTCATCTGAAAGGCTGAGAATAGGTTTGGGTGGGCCACAGCACAGGCTTTCATACTCACCAGTACCTGGTCACGATGCAGAGTGACCAAGGACATTACGAGGATCAGCAGAACACACCTCATCTGTTACCTCATTCATGCCTAGTAGCCACCCATCAGCCACCTGCTTATTCTGGCAAATAACCTGCAGGCTGGATGGCACAGGCCCAGGAAAGCAGCTGGGAATCAGTTAGTGGTAGCCCAGAAAGTCCAGTTTGGGTTGATGGCTGGCATCATCCATATCAGCTTCATCTTACAGCAGTGACACTCGGAGAGCTCACCATAGAGTACAGGGTATCAGGAGCAAAGCCAGCATAGTTATGAAGCCCGGGAAGTTATTGCAAATATATATATATATATTAAGCTTCCTTGTGGAAGATAACCACTTAAAAAACTGGGAAAAGACCATAGTCACAGACAGAGCCCAAGGCATGCAAAGGAAGTCAGTGCACATCTATGGCATCATGTGCTTGGCATAGAAGCAGTGGACGGCCATGCACTTGGAACACAGAACGCTTTGCAGAACAGCACCAAGGCCCAGAGGAAGAAGAGCATAGGCATGTAAGCAACAATCTTGAAACTGACGGAAGATTTAGAAGAACCGAAGAACAAAATAATCCAGTGTGAAGAGAAAGCAAATGGAAGATCGCATGCTGTTGGCTAAGCACAGAATCCAAGAGGAGGTGGTAAGGAAACTTGTGCGGTAGCTTCTCACAGGTCAGGAGTTAGCCAGACTGGAACCGGAAGGACCTGGGGCTCTCCAATGGCTGCCTTGCTGGGTCTCGAATTCCTCTGCGAGGCCCTTCACCCATCAGGTAATATTGTAAGGGGTTGGGCCACAGTTCCGCTTTGATGATCTCAGCAATCCTGTCGAATTCTAGGAGGCTGTGGTCTGAGAACCAGTTGAAGAAACTGGGGATAGTGTTCCCTTCCCGGTTCCTGTGGATATGGGACTGAGGGTCTTGGCCCCGGTGCCAGCGGACTGGAGTGGAAAGGGACACCACCCGGCCGGAGGATCTGCGCTCATATTCCTTGACCAGCCCCTCATTTCGGAAGTAGGGGTTGCTCTGAAAGATGAACCTGAACTTGCAGCCTGCTCTAGGGTGCTTAAGCTCCTCAACTTCCAAGTTGATCATGTACCTCATCATGTCTTCATCTTGGCCACTGATCATGGGTGACAGCTGGGGATGGTTCCGAAAAGCAGTGACCCAGAAGCCCGGGATATTCTGGATAATGAAACTTCTGCGCTGCATGTGGAGCCTTCGCATCCGGCCGAACTTGCGCTCCAGCTGAAGGAAGGCCCTGTCTGCCTGGGCATTTACGTTGGACAGCTCCTGATCGATGGCCTCGAGCGAGTCCATGCAGTTATTGATCTTCGGGCCCCTGGCGCGTGTCTCCTCCTTCACTCCTCCTACCCCCTTTTTCTCCTTCTGCATCATCTTGTCCTCCACCACCTCCTCGGCTACTCCCTCCTTTTCCGCTGTCGCTGAGGCGGCGCACTTTTTTGTCGTCACTTCCTTGGCCTTTGCCCCAGACATCATCCGAGGCCCCAAGCCCCCTGCGCCACAGGCTTCTAGCGCCTTCTCCTCCGCAGGGTCGCGCGGCTCTCGACGCTGACAGCCATTTTCCTGGCTATTGTCTGTCGCCGCCGGGGCGGAGGCAGAGGCTGCTTCCACGCCCTCCGCGGGTGGCGGAGCCTCTTTCTGGCCCGTCTTAGTCGTTGCACGGCTGCGACTCCCAGCAACTCGAATGCGGAGCACAGGGCCACAGCCCCAGTGGGCCCGAGACGCGCCTCCCTCCGCGGCAGTCTCCAAACTGCCCTCACCTGTGCTCGCCATCACCTGTGTCGCCTCGGTTTCCTCGCTCTGGTCCTGGTTCAGGTCCGGATGTCCTGGAGCATCGTCGGGAGTAGCAAGGCCGCAGGTTTTAGCGACAGGATGGTGGGTGTCCCCATCCCGGATGCTCATTTTGGTGGAAGTCTGACTTGCGGGATGGGAGAGCGATCCTGGTCCTCTGCAGAAGCCGTGCTCCGCCCCTCGCACCACCCTTCTTTTCCTCCCTGGGATGATGCTGCCATGGCAACCGGTGACGTCAGGACAGCAGCGCCTTAATTTCGCGCGAGAACTGCGACTTGGGATTACGCTCGTCAGTCAAGAGTATTCTTTTGTCTTTGTGTTACAAAATGTTTTTAATTTCGTCAGTCTGGTAAACGTTCAGTTTGCATAAATGGATGCAGACCAAACTCAAGCATGTGAGAAGTGTGTTAATGGGATTTCTAATACCCTGAATGAATTTCTAAGGCACCTAAGCTATTGTTAAAATATTTGCTTGAAAGGTAAGAGGTTAGTTACTGTCTGTTCAACTCAGCTCATAGGGATTCTCGTGTATAATCAAGTAGATTCAGCAATTCACAGGCCTTCCTTTTTTAATGTACAGATTCATGGCTATTACCAAAAATTGAGATGAATAGAGTTTGATTATTAAGAAAAGCGAAGTATTGCTGTGTTAAGTGTGATCATTTAAAAAATTACAAGCAACTAAAAGGAAAACTTCTCTCATCCTAACAAGACATACAATAAAAGATAATTTCAATTTCTTACAGATTTTAAAGTTTATATACAATACTTTGGCAAACACCTGCAAAGCAACTGGACAGTATTCCCTCTTCACTTTTAACTAATGTAAGTGGGAAAATGTTGTATTTTCCTTACTTAGAGGTGAGTCACACAGGAGCAAGTGTGCAAATTTAGCCTTTAAGCATTATAGGAAGAAATGTCATTTCAGGGGGTTTTAATTTCTAAAGTTATGCATGTTATATGTTGCTTATCCTCAAATTATAATCTTAATCTAAAAAAACGTTCCTGCGTCATAATGCCTGTGGGCATGAAGCCAGCAAATATTTGCCAAAATTTGCTCCTGTGATAATTCACTACAGGGCAGAAAATAATTGTTTTCAGACCCTGAAGCTATTAATTGTCTTAATTAAGATATTTCAATATTAAAATATTTACTTAAGTAAGGAAAAGTTACTGTCTATTCAAGTCAGTTAGCTCATACAGTTCATTAGAGTGATGTCAGTACTATCTGCTATTTTGTTAGCTTGTTGGGAGTTTGAAAATACTGGTGTTAATCATTAGAAAGATCCCCAAAGGAAGGAAAACTAAAAGTTTACATACTTTTGTTTACTGTCTTAAATTTATACTAGAAAATTATTATGATTGTAACTCTGTAATATAAACTGCACTACAGAGCACCCCAGATTATGATCACTTTCAAATAAGGGCTCAGAAGAGGATCCAGTAAGAAGTAAGAACTTAGGGGAAAAGGATTTAGAGAAAAGCAGCAGGTATATTGAGATTTCTAGTGAGGGAAGTAGTACAGACCTATGGCAGCTAAGAATGAGATACTAATGGAAAGGCACTGGCAGACATTATAGAGAAACAGCTCATCATGCAGAGTCAGTTTAGCTCACAAAGATTTTCCAGAGAATTCATAAACAATTAAGATTTTTTTTGTCCCGCTACTCAGCCTACTCAAGGATAGACTGTCCAGGTGACTACTGCTAGCTAATCAGTTATCCAATAAAAAATTGGGCAAAGACGATTCACTCTTCCAGTTGTACAATTATTTTTCTCTCTCTTTCCTCTTTTTTTAGAAAGATAAATCCTGTTTTTGCCTTTGTGAGATTAAAAAATCAATCTAATTAAGTGACTTTGTGACTTTGAGTTATTCTTTGACACTACTCTGCCTTGTTTCTTTTCCTAAAGAATCTTTGCACTGTTGAAAGATTCTCTTGGATTATAACCTGAGCCAAGATGTAGAGAACAAGGAAATATTGGATTAAAGTTACTGTGCCATGCAGGAAAAAAAGAGTTTGCTATTTACAACAGAAAATTAGAAAATTGCATAAAGCTACTACCTGTGAACTTTTTTTCTCTTGTTGTGTATACCAGAATTTTTTAAAGATTTATATCTCCACTACTTGAAACACCCCTGTCCTTAGCTTTGCTTATTCCTGTCAATAGAATCGTTTTCCACTAATAACAGCCTTTCCATGCTTTAAAACTCCATTCAAAGCATTACCTCATGTAGATTGCAGTAGGCATTTTATAAGCATTAATTTCATAAACAGGGGCCAAGGAAGCACAGAGAAGTTAACTCCCCAATGGTGAGACATATATTAATTGGCAAATTGCCTCCTTCCATCTCCTGTATATAACCTTCCTTAAGCACCTTACTGTCCTGATAGTCCTCTGAATTTCTATAGCTCTTATGAGTTTTGCCATCTGTTACATCCTGCACGACATGAGCAGTGGGAAAATGAGAGGGGGCGGCGAAGGGTTAAGAAACAAAAGAAACAGTAGTCAAGAGTTAAATAAGCATGGGGCCAAGGGTCTCCAGCCTCATGGACTAAGAGCCCCGAAAAAGGCCGACACACCACTTTTATTTCTCCACCTACCCGGAAGTAGCATTGTTCTCTCCACAGTCTGTGAGTCGCATTCCTGCGAATTTGCTCAAGCCAGATTACCCATGCCTGCAAGCTGCTATTACCGAGAGATAGGACAGATGCTCTGCCTTCACACACCCTATATGCATAGGACCCCAGGAAGATAAGATTATTATGCTGAGGACAGATACTATGACACCATTAGGTCACTTCCCAAGCAGGTTGAGGAAGGAATGTAGCTACAGAGGTAGAAAATCTTCAGTCTCTTTGAGGGGCGAGTGAGGGCTCATGCCCACCTCCATCAGCCCCGAGATTTCTCCTAATGGCCTCCAACTGACCATGCCTGGCTTAGGTTGTTCCTCCCACGAGGAATCTTACCCGTCATTGACTAACCAGCCATCCTTTGGAGCCAAACGGAGACGCAAGGTGTATGAGCAGTGACCTCAAAAGGGTCAGTTTAGGGGTAAGCATGGGGGGACAGACAGCTGGACAGCTGTGTGGCAATAGCCATCCAGTTTAGTACATATTTATCTTCTATCTTTAATTTTCTTCATTCTTTCATGAAGGTCAGTTTCCTCATCCCAACTAGACAGGGATGGATGCATAGTGGTTTCTTCTACCTTAGCATCTACTATAGTATAGCCCAGAAGATTTTAGTGAAACTTAAAGATTTAATTTAAATGAAAAATTTTAAAGATTTTGCCAAAATGAATACTATGATTACGCTGGTATTTCATTTTGAGTTGTATATATACATACATATATATATATATATATATATATATGTATATATACACATATATAGTAGCTATGACTCATGTTTTACATTTTTTGCATATTAAAATATAGGATTTTTGTACTCAACAGCGCCTGTTGGCAATTGGCAGTAAACCTCACATTAAGATACCTTAATAAGTTATGATTCTATAGAAAAATATCCACAAAAAGGCCATGACAATCTAAAAGGTAATTTTCATTTGCTACGGGACAAGGAGTCTAATAGAAATTCAAACAAATTAATACAATCTAATAGAAATGACTTTACTAAAGTACACAATAAATACTGGAAATCTTGTAAAATATTTCCTATTATTACTCTCTTGAACAGCAAGTTTGTTTTTTCAGAATGATATAGCTCCTGGTTATATATTCATTATAACAAATTTATTTAGTGTCTTCTATACATGAGGCACTTACACATTTAAATGTGTTATTTAATCCTCACAACAACCATGTGAGGTGATAATATAATAACCTCTATTTTGCTTTACCTCAGAAAGAAGTGAAGCAAGGAAAAATTGAGTTGCTTTTCTAAGGTCACACAGCAGTGATGGAGCCAACATCTTAACCTAGGTAATCTGATTCTATAACCTCTTCTCAGATATATAGTTTGCAAATATTTTCTCCCATTCCATAGGTTACTTTTTCACTGCTGATTGTTGATAAATAAAAATTCTTGAGTATTAGAAAGGTTTGTGTCACAGATTAATTGGCAATTGTTTTAATTCTTAGTGTTAGGTAAAGATAATGACATATCTTACAATCAATGTTTTAGAGTAGACAGAATAATGAGGTTGTTTTCAAAAAAATGTAATGTATAAAACAGTGAAAAAAATGTTTTCATACGTAAAATAGTGCTAGGTTCTAGGCTTACATAATAATAGTTTTTTTCATTTACATGAATGTTTAGCACTGGATAATTATTTTATATCAGGCACTGTCCCTCACATTCCAGGATGTTTAGCATCCCTAATGCCCCTAATGAATGCCAGTAGCATCCATATTCATTGTAATAACCAAAATAACTGGGAAATTTCCCAAACACCCCTTGGGGGGGAGGGCGTACATATACACATTGATAATCAGTTTTTTAAATGCTTGTGAATATAGAATTCCCATTCCTAGTCACTAGGGGGAGGAAGTGGTCTTTAGTTTTTGTGTGTGTATGTGTGTTTTTTTACTTTCAAAATTTTTATTAAATTTATTGGAGTGACAATGGTTAGTAAAATTACATAGGTTTCAATTGTACATTTCTATAACACATCATCTGTATGTCACATTGTGTGCTTACTACCCAGAGTCAGTTCTCCTTCCATCACCATATATTTGACCCCCCCTTTACCCTCATCTACAGCCCCCCACCTTCCTTACTATCTGGTAACCACTAAACTGTTGTCTGTGTCTATCAGTTTTTGTTTGTCTTGTTCGTTTGTTTTATTCAGTTTCATATCCCACATATGAGTGAAGTCATATGGTTCTCGACTTTTTCTGTGTGACTTATTTCTCTTAGCATGATAATCTCAAGATCCACCATGTTGTTGCAAATGGCAATTTTATCTTTTCTTATGGCTGAATAATATTCCATTGTACAGAGGGTGCCAAAAAAATGTATACACATCTTAAGAGAGGAAAAAAATATTAAAATTGTAATACTCAATATATCACCAATAACAAAAGATGAATACAAGTCACGTTTGACTTCTGCAGTTACACGAGGTGCTCAAAGTGGTTACCATCAGTGTCCAGACACTTCTGATTACAGCAAACTACGCTTGAACAACGTAAACCAAAGTGTCCACTTGTATACATTTTTTTTGGCACCCCTGGTATATACTAATATGTACCACATCTTCCTTATTCAATCATCTATCAAAGGACACTGGTTATTTCCATGTCTTGGCCACCATGAATAATGCTGCAATGAACATAGGGGTACATACATACATCTTTACAGATAAATGTTTTTAAATTTGGGGGGGTAGATACCCAAGAGAGGGATTGCTGGGTCATATGGTAATTCTATTCTTAATTTTTGAGGAACCTCCATACTGTTTGCCATAGTGGCTGTACCAATTTACATTCCCAGCAACAGTGTATGGGGGTTCCTTTTTCTCCACTACCTCTCCAACACTTATTATTTGTCTTGTTGATAATTGCCATTCTAACAGGTGTTAAATAGTATCTCATTGTGGTTTTGATTTGCATTTCCCTAATAGCTATGAAATTGAGCATTTTTTCGTATATCTGTTGGCCATATGTCTTGGGAGAAGTTTCTGTTCAGGTCCTCTGCCCATTTTTTAATAGGATTGTTTGTTTTTTTGTTATTGAGTTGTATGACTTCTTTATATGTTTTGGATATTAGCTCTTCTCAGAGATGTTGTTTACAAATATCTTCTCCTATTCAGTTGGTTGCCTCTTTGTTTTGTTGATGGCTTTTTTTGCTGTGCAGAAGCTTTTTAGTTTGACATAGTCCCATTCGTTTATTTTTCCTTTACTTCCTTTGCCTTTGAGGTCAAATTCATAAAATCCTCTGTGAACCCAAGGTCCTTTGCTTTCTTCTATGAAATCTACTGTTTCGGGTCTAATGTTTAGGTTTGATCCATTTTTAGTTAATTTTGGTGTGTGGTAACAGGTGGCAGTCTGGTTTCATTCTTTTGCATGTGGCTTTCCAATTCTCCCAGCACCCTTTATTGAAGAGGTTTTCTTTTCCCCATTGTATGTTTTTGGCTCCTTTGTCAAAAATGATCTGCCCATATATATGTGAGTTTATTTCTGGGTTCTCAATTCTATTCCATTGGTCTATATGTCTGTTTTTTTGCCAGTACCATGATGTTTTGCTAATTGTCTCATTGAAGTATAAATTGAAGTCAGGGAGTGTGATACCTCCAGCCTTGTTCTTCTTTCTCAGGATTGCTTTGACTATTTGGGGTCTTTTGTGATTCCATACAAATCTGATGATTTTTTGTTATATTTCTTTTTAAAAAATGCCATTGGGGTTTTGATGGGGATTGCATTAAATCTGTATCTTGCTAAGGAACTGGTCTTTAAAATGATAATCTCACTTGAGTTTGACTTTGGTGTTAAAGTTTAAACTGCTCTGAAAAGAATATTTATGGCAATTTTATAGACCATCTATTCATTAAAAGCACTATGGGATGAGTTTTCAACATATATTTTATGCTTTACATAGTATTAAAATTAAGTTATAATCTTAGGCTATCATTGTTACAAAATTAAAATTTTTAAAATTAAAATTTCTGATGATGTTTAGGCAAAAAAAAAAAAAAAAGAAAAAGTCATATAGCCTTGCTTTCCCCAATCATAACGGAAATCAGAGACAAGGTCCCTGATCTGAATGACCTCATAGCTTTGTGTGCTGGGTGTGTTAATTTTATGTGTCAATTTGATTGGGCCAAAGGTAGCCCAAATT